GATAATGTCTAATTTCACAATAATAGCTGAATCAAAATGCACTCACGATTCACATGTCGCATGCTTGCAGCTAGTGTAATATTAGGCACATGCTTTGAAAACAATCCCTATTAAACCAGGGGCCTGTACCATGATGGTGGCTGAACAAACTCGGGGTTACAGGATTAGTTTTGAGTTGAGTTGAGTTGTACCAGCTTTGTTGGTACAATGAAGCTGATCATCAACTTTCTCTGTCAACTCAGGCTTGATCCTGAGATAATGGAGCATGTGCACATGAAAGTGTGACATCAGTAATGAACAGCCAATCACATGCCTTGAAACTGTGATTCACTTATCGAGAGAGAGTCAGTGCGATTCACTACCAAAGATGAAAAGATTGAACAATATGAAGAATTTAAACACATTTACAAGATGAAACGATCTATCCATCAAAGAGGAAAACTTAAAGAAAACATCTTGCCATATAAGTGCAAGTAAAAGTTGTAAAGTTAGTTTATAGAGTTGATAATATTTATAGGTATAAAAACACTTAAAAATCTAAGCTCATATGTAGTCATGTTTAAACTATTGATTCTAAAACTTATTTATATTGCATATTATCTATATTTTTATATTAATTTAAAATAGAAGCTTAATAATTACTATTAAACTAAGCTAGCTTGTGTAATGGATTAAGGGTATAATAATTATATAAATCATATAAAATAATTATAACAAATAATTATCTCAAAAAATCTGACAATTTTATCTTTAAAAATGTTTTACTAAGTAGCGTCCTTTAATTTGGAGTAAGAGAAACTGGGGGAGTGGCTTTATTGCGTCAGAGATGTGTCACTTTGCTTGAAGCTGATTGGTCAAATTTCGGTTTGAGATCTCTAAACCAGAACATACCCTGCCCCAGAGAAGGTTAGCTGTGGAGTGTAAGTTACTAAGGCAATGAATGCCGCTAAAAGCCAAGCCACTTTCATGGTACCTAAAACCCAGGATTGGTGCAAACTAAACTGAAACTTACCTGGCTAGCCAGCTAAACCGGCTTCATGGTACAGGCCCCAGTTATCAACAACAAAAAGTATTTTGCAGTAAACATCCAACATCCTGACCTTTAGGACTGTAAAGACGTGCTCTGTGCCTTCGACAAATTATGAAACATACCAGTTGAATTCACTTGCATGCACTGATCATTGAGCAGCACACTGAACGCACACAAAAACATCAGATGGTAAATAAACACTGTGGAGTAGCAGTCTAGAAAAGATGTGAAATTGCAGACATTTTCAATTGGCACTTGGATCTGAGTGTGTAGAGCTAAACTGATGGGTTGAGAGCGAGTCTCATGGGAAGGGAGCCGTTAGAGAGAGATGCCTGGCAACAACATTGCTGTAAAACCCTATTAGGAAACCTGTAGAAAACCACACTTCAAATAAAGGAGCATTTTGAGGGCAGAGCCCTTACAATGCTGAGAATGAAATCATTTAAAAACGCATTGGTGAGGAACTTTTTAGTATGTGTGCTATTTTCCAGGGCAGGGCAATGGATGTCTCTGAACAACTCAAATGCGAAGGCAATGGCTTGCCATCTCTCTATTTTTGTGTATCATTATTTTGTGGAGTGAATCAAATCTTTGTCATTGCTTGCTTCCATTGCTTCCTGATTAAATTCTTAACCATTTATGTCCCACTTTACTATGCAAAGCATGTGTTACCACAGTCTGGATTTATACACACTAATTTTAATTAAACAGTTTTAAGATGCGTATGAGAAATCACAGGTACAGTGATGAGTGGAGTGAAGACTTCTGACTCTTCTGTAGCCTCGTACCTTGCACACACGAGCGACCCGTGCGACTCTGCTGTGACTGAAGTATGGACTGAGCTCTTGACTCTTCTCGGTGAAGAAGAAGTAAATCTTATCGTCATCTCCCACTGAGCTACTGACACTCTCCCTCACCAACGCTGACCCCGCAAAATCAGCCTCTGTACAGGACAAGACAGAAGACTGCTGTTAGTACGTCACGTCACAATACTGACAAGTAAAATAATAAAAAAAATAATGCAATAATAAATGGTTAATTAAAAATAAATATCCATGTTATTGTACTAATTGACACTGCACTTTGAGGATGGTAAGATTTTGAAAAAAGTCTCTTATGCTCACCAACAGAGGCGTCATGCCCATTCAAAGTGATGTAGTTAATGCGTTTGGTAATGTTTCAAATAAAAAGGAAAAAAATTTAATAAAACATGAGTGCTATTGTGGCTGCTGTGTGTCACATGATGACCCCCCCATACCCCCGCCCCCCCACTCGTGCCCCCTCAAAAATAATTAGTGCATGACGCCCCTGCTCACCAAGGCTGCATTTATTTAATCAAAAATACAGTAAAAACCGCAATATTGTGAAATATTTTACAATTTAAAATAACTCGTCTATATTAATGTCTTACAGTGTCATTTATTCCTGTGATGGCAAAGCTGAATTTTCAGCATCATTACTCCAGTCTTCAGTTTCACATGATCCTTCAGAAATCATTATGCTGATCTGCTGCTCAAGACACATTTCTTATTATTATCAATGATGAAAACAATTGTGATGGTTAATATTTTTGTGGAACTTGTGATACATTTTTCAGGATTCTTTGATGAATAGAACGTTCAAAAGAACAGCATTTACTTGAAATATAATTTATTGTAACATTATAAATGTCTCCACTCTGACGTTTAATGAATCCCAAAAAAAAAAGTTCCTGATTCACACATTTTTAAACGGTAGTGTGCATGATATATGAGTATATTATATTTAAATTTAGAATTTCATTTTTTTATTTGTAAAGATATATGGTGGAGAACCATTTGCTTACATCTGATTAGTGACCTATTAAATATTTTCGATTTTTCTTTGTTTTAAATTTTTAAATCCTACAACTTAACACCAAGTTTAACTGGTGGTCTCAGACTTGTGGACGCCACTGTAATGTTAAATGGCCAAATATTATTAACCTACTATGACTTGAGAGATCCAAACATATGGCAATGTTGATGGTGTGGGGTGAAATATTTTACTAATAAAATGTGCTGCAGCAGGACCGACCTTGTAGCCATTGAGTTGGAGCCTCTTCTGCTCTCAGTGTGGGATTCGGAGAGTTTCGCCGGATATCAGGAAAGCTCCGGAACTTCATACTGAGATGCTGTGTACATCTGCTGATCTAAGGGAAACAGAGCGTCACACTATATTTCAAGCTTTTAATATTGTTAATATCATATGATTGTTTTTAATAAAACAAACTAAGGGCGAAATGTATATTGCTAATTGATTTATTGATGCCATACCAATCAACAGGCCAGTGTAGCCTTTGTTGGGATCATATGGACATTTCTCTCGACCCTCCTCGAAGGCTGATGAGAACTTAAACTTTCTCCCATTCTGGAAAACACAACAAAATGATTTAGACAGTCCTACATATGAAGGTTCTCATCCTAAAGTAAGACCTCTCTGTGTTAAGAGGCATAAAAAAGTAGCCATCCCAGTTACTTACAATGTATGCACACAGAGGACTGAAAGCATGTGTGCCACAAGTAAACAAGTGTGTGCTGTTGAACCTCTGCAGGAATCGTATGTGGTTGTAGCACTCTGTCTGTAAGGGGGAAGATGTCTACATCAGTATGTGAACTAGAGATGATAACACAATAGATGGAGATCATGACTAACCTTGTTATCTTTCCCTTTGTTCAAGCATTGTTGCTTCTGATCATCTGATGCCTCCCAGTGAATCTGTCCAAGTACAAGATTAACAAGAATTCTTGAACTGTCAAGACTTGTAAAAATGCTTTCCTGGCACAGCAACTTCCTGCTCCGGTTTGCAGTGCCAAATTGTACCAACTGGTGTTTGTAAACAACTCTCACATTAACTTACTATGCACACTAGTTGGAACAAAATAGTGAAACAAAATCTGAATTCTCAGGAGGAAAGAATCTACAAATTATCTTTGAAAATAAATGGTCAAACTAAATACACTATTTTTGTATTTCCTCAAGAAGTAAAACAAGTTTTAAGCTTACATTTTAGGATACTGCAACACATAATGTGACTTTTGCTTTCCTTTGCAGTGTTAGAGCACCAATATACTGTATGTGAACAAAAAAAAAATCACACTTCTGGATTCATAGATGAATATTAAGTTCAAAAGATCAGCATTTATTTGAAACAGAAACATTTTATTTACAATCATGTTTAATAAAAAAAGAGTAAATTTGATGGCCTCTTAAATTGTACATCATTGTGATATTTAAAAAAAATCTTGCATTTTCAAAAAGTATAAAGTTTGCATAAACCAAAAATAGATGACAGCTAACAGTGGAATTATTCACATAACATTGGAATGGAGTCTGCATCTTAAGTGTTTTTTGCTTAATTCATTGCAAAAAATTGTGGAGAGGAAGAGGAATAAAAATAGGATATTTCAGGAATATCAATACAGTTCTGCCTGGCAAGCTCTGTAATTAAGTGCTGATGTGTTTGTCAGTACGTACAGTCTGCAGAGAGCTGTTGGAGATGTCACTAGCCTGCAGGGCATATAAAGCCCCTCTAGCTCCCACATACAGCACGCCTGCCTCCTCCTCCAGCAGCAATAAACTGTAGTTCAGTGTCGAGCCTCTGAAGCGCCTGAGGCCCAACAGCCCTGAAACACACAGGACAGACCAGTTAAAGAAATATTTTATCCATAAAAGGAACCACAAACACTTCATTAAGGTCTGTGGGTCTGTGTGCTTGGTGTTGTGAAGATGTGCTGTCTCCTGTGTCAGTGTGTCCATGTTTGATTTATTGACATTTAACTTCAGCTTCCCTTTTCCAAATCTTTAAATTAATCTTGAGAAGTGGATGCTGTGGATTAAACTATGTGTCCCTCTCATTCACAAACGTCAATAACATTATTAAAGACACCTGCATTTGCTCCAAGTTAATGTAAGTGATTGCCTTGATTCTTAAGTACTTTTTGGCATGTTTTTATGTTTCAGTAGCCTTCCATGGTATACTGGATCGTATGTGGTTGTAGCACTCTGTCTGTAAGGGGGAAGATGTCTACATCAGTATGTGAACTAGAGATGATAACACAATAGATGGAGAGCATGACTAACCTTGTTATCTTTCCCTTTGTTCAAGCATTGTTGCTTCTGATCATCTGATGCCTCCCAGTGAATCTGTCCAAGTACAAGATTAACAAGAATTCTTGAACTGTCAAGACTTGTAAAAATGCTTTCCTGGCACAGCAACTTCCTGCTCCGGTTTGCAGTGCCAAATTGTACCAACTGGTGTTTGTAAACAACTCTCACATTAACTTACTATGCACACTAGTTGGAACAAAATAGTGAAACAAAATCTGAATTCTCAGGAGGAAAGAATCTACAAATTATCTTTGAAAATAAATGGTCAAACTAAATACACTATTTTTGTATTTCCTCAAGAAGTAAAACAAGTTTTAAGCTTACATTTTAGGATACTGCAACACATAATGTGACTTTTGCTTTCCTTTGCAGTGTTAGAGCACCAATATACTGTATGTGAACAAAAAAAAAATCACACTTCTGGATTCATAGATGAATATTAAGTTCAAAAGATCAGCATTTATTTGAAACAGAAACATTTTATTTACAATCATGTTTAATAAAAAAAGAGTAAATTTGATGGCCTCTTAAATTGTACATCATTGTGATATTTAAAAAAAATCTTGCATTTTCAAAAAGTATAAAGTTTGCATAAACCAAAAATAGATGACAGCTAACAGTGGAATTATTCACATAACATTGGAATGGAGTCTGCATCTTAAGTGTTTTTTGCTTAATTCATTGCAAAAAATTGTGGAGAGGAAGAGGAATAAAAATAGGATATTTCAGGAATATCAATACAGTTCTGCCTGGCAAGCTCTGTAATTAAGTGCTGATGTGTTTGTCAGTACGTACAGTCTGCAGAGAGCTGTTGGAGATGTCACTAGCCTGCAGGGCATATAAAGCCCCTCTAGCTCCCACATACAGCACGCCTGCCTCCTCCTCCAGCAGCAATAAACTGTAGTTCAGTGTCGAGCCTCTGAAGCGCCTGAGGCCCAACAGCCCTGAAACACACAGGACAGACCAGTTAAAGAAATATTTTATCCATAAAAGGAACCACAAACACTTCATTAAGGTCTGTGGGTCTGTGTGCTTGGTGTTGTGAAGATGTGCTGTCTCCTGTGTCAGTGTGTCCATGTTTGATTTATTGACATTTAACTTCAGCTTCCCTTTTCCAAATCTTTAAATTAATCTTGAGAAGTGGATGCTGTGGATTAAACTATGTGTCCCTCTCACAACCGTCAATAACATTATTAAAGACACCTGCATTTGCTCCAAGTTAATGTAAGTGATTGCCTTGATTCTTAAGTACTTTTTGGCATGTTTTTATGTTTCAGTAGCCTTCCATGGTATACTGGATCTCTCTTTTTTTGTAAAAATAATTACTTGCTATAAATGCATCCAGATGTTATTTATTAATTCTTGAGGTAATTGATTTCATATCTCTTCATGTTTGACTGCAGCCGAACTCGTGGGGAAGCTTGTCAGGCCTAGCAACAGTAACCAAGGAGACAGGGCTTATTAAAGGTTCAATCTGCCTGTTGTTTTTATGTTTCCAGGTCCGTGTCTAAGGTGCCCTGCAGAGGAGGTAAGACAATATACCTCATGCTGCCATTACTCCCTGCATGACCTTAATGAATCATGTGTGGCCTCTTATTATGTACAATTTCAGAGCAGACCTTTTCTCAACCAAAGTAACAAAGGGTTGGTCACAAAAAATAAAAACATTTGTTGATATTATAAGGTGGTGTTTTAGTATTAATTGTTTTATGTTTGTTGGAATGCATTTGTGTGTTCAACACAATCTCATGGCAATTTATAACTGGTTTTCAGTTTGGCGAATTGGTGGCTAATTTGTATGGATTCATATGATCTCATTTGTATAATCTGCTGATGTCTCAGTTATATTAGGGCTTTCATTAAAAATTCTTTCATGCAAGCTTTTTTCAAAAAAAAAAATTCAAAAAAATCATGTTATTTGTTACTTGTTATTTGTACATGTTATAAAATAGTTACATTTTCCTGTGAGATCAGGTTGTGTTACAAATCCAATGGTTTCAAATCCCCAGTTAAACACCACCATTCAAAAGGGTCAGTACGATGTTTATTTTATTATTATTATTATTATTTTTAAGAAATTAATACTTTTATTAATCAAGGATACATTCAATTGTATCACAGTTTCCAAAAAAATAAAAATTTAGCAGAACAACTGTTTTCAATACTGATAAATAATAAGAAATGTTTCTTGAGCAGGAAATCAGCACATTAGAATGATTTCTGAAGGATCATGTGACACTGAGACTGGAGTAATGACTGCTGAAAATTCATCATTTCCACCACAGGAATAAATTACATTGTAACAATATATTAAAATAGAAAACAGTTCATTTAAAATAAATAATGCAATAAATATAAAAGTTTAACTGGCACTTTATAGGTTTAATATATATATATATATATATATTTATGTAACTATGTCTGTACATATAAATACTCTTAGTAGTAAAAGACGATCATCACTCATTCCATAATGAGCGTAGGAGGCAGAACGCCCTTTTAACACAAAGGTGAGCTGATACACAAACAAACATTCCTGGTTCCTTGTTTGCACAATAATGTGTTGTGTATCGCACTACTGTGATGATGTGCACATGACACGTGCTGTATGGTATGCGTGCTTCAAAAATAACACCACATGCTGAAAAACATCAACAAACACAGCCCACGGGACACACGTCTCCACTCGTGTATAGGCAGCAGCGTGTGGCAGCAGGACAGGTTATGCTGCGCAGCCAGATTTGGCTGAGGACCCAGAGCACTACAATGACAGCAGAGCTGACAAACATAGCTACAGAGAGACAGAGGGCAGTGAGCTACAGGGACAGCGTACCAGAGCCAAAAATGAACAGAAAAAGAAGATAATTAAGGTGCCCTGTGACTCCCTGCTGACACAGCGCTGCTGTGTTTCGCAAACATGCAGAAACGTCTGCATTTCCTTAATGCTTCCTGCTCACAAACACACACGCACATGCTCAATACACTTGATTAATCTCTTTCTAATGCTCAAGCAGTCCCATTCATTTGCTCTTATGTTTTGTGTCCAAGTGTGTGTTGATTGGGTTAGGAATGATGACCTACTCTGAGATCTTACATCTCTTAACAACAAACAAATTATAGAACAAACTAATGATCAAATCATCTTCATTAAATACATCCAAAACATACACTCAACTCACTCATCAACTAACTATGAATGGTTGTCAATGGAGAAACATATGGCATGTATAAAGCAAGGATGGTCCCAAAAATAAAAATTCTGTCATCATTACTCAGCCAAGTTGTTCCAAACCTGTATGAGTTTCTTTCTTCTGTTGAACACAAAAGAAGATATTTTGAGGAATGATGGTAAGCAAACAGTGACGGTAACCATTTACTTCATAGTATTTTTCCATACTATGGAAGTTGATGGCTATCATCAGCATAAATTCAACAGAAGAAAGAAACTCATTTTTGGCTGAACTATCCCTTTAAGGCACCTTCACACCAAGGACGGTAACTAAAACTAAAACTATAGGTACAAAGTTTCAATAATCATTCTAATTCTATAAAAATAGTGAAGCCCACACCACAACTATAACAAGAACGACACAAAGGAACGATATGGTTTCAGAAATTTCTTTTTTCCAGATGATGAATGATAAAAACACTGACAGCCAATTAGAATCCACCTGACTTTAAAGAGTCTGAGCATTTAAAGCGGCAGACAACAAGACTGCAGTGCTTATAATAAATAGAATGTTATTGTTCATTAGTGTGTATGCTAATATAATTATCGTTATAGTTATTCCTTTTAGGTGTTAACAGGTTTTTATATTTAAGAGAGCCATTTGCATGTTTGTTTACTTTTAAATGTTCATTAGCATTAGATAAAACAGAGAGAACTACACATTTATTTTGTTTGCATGGCTTGAGCCCAACTTAAAAAAGCACAACTTATTGTTATCAGATTTTGCTCCTGATTTGAAATTTAAATTTTATTTCACAAACACAAGATTTCTGTCTTTCCTAATTCAAGATACGATCTGTACTTTGGCTGGAAATAGCATAATTAATATGTCCACCAATCAAACTGACATGCCTTAACCTGACAATGTTACGAAGCTACTATTTGACCCCTTGATGTGAATGACATGTCCAGTAATAATTTAAAAATCAACAATTGGGGAAAAAAAACTATTACTTAACCATTATTCTGAATAATATTCCTTTTAATGTCTGGTGCTGCTTAAAACTCTGCTTTGGCCGAAAATAATCATCAAATAATAATTAGTGTGCAAGAGGTCATGAGACTGGAAGATTGCATTTATCAAACCAATTTCATGAGCCTTAAGAAAAGCCATGAGTCTAATCTGCTGGCCAAAAGTTAATAGCAGAATGATCCACTCTGTGCTTGCTTTCAACTGCTGTCATCTTTCCTCTTAACATCTTCACCCTCTATCCCCAGTACAGAGCCAACGATGTTAACAGAACAGATTGATCCACTCAGACATACACTATTAGATCACAATGCATTTCCCACAGTCCTCCAGAAATTATTCAGTCATCACTCTTCAGTGGGTCAATCTCAAACCCAACGGAGCCGAACTGGGCCGAGACTTGCACACATTATTAGTCTGGCCACAAACAACATTATACACCGGAATAAACAGTACACATACACAGTGCACATACACACACGCCCAAATGCATTCCCATGCACATATCATTTACAGTGTCATACTGACACTTTACGTTGTACTTTTCCACTAGTCACCAGATTCAACACGAACAGCAGTTCAAAATGGTAAACGAATTACAAGCCAAGGTTATTCAAACAGAACAAAGGTTTACATGCACACAGCACAGAGACCTCCACAATATTCCCGTGTTGGGGTGCGGAGAGCAGCTTTGAACTTCAAACAAATGTCAAGAGATGTGTTAAAATGGCAACGGCCCAGCATGAAGCAATGCCCATCCCAACGAACGAGACCAGTAACCTGAATGATAGCACTCTACAGGCCTGCTATTACACTCACACAAACCACATACCTTAGGTGTGCTCGTCATTCTCAGGCACAATGCAGTGCAGCAGAGACATGCTATCATTTCCTCAAACCAGAATTACTCGTTTTGCTGATTGCTCAAATAGAGCTCCTCAGGATTTTAAAGCAGCACAAACGGTTGTCTGTTCAACTTGGTCATGGGATCTTACAAGAATGGATGGAGGTCAATGAAACATTGGCAAACTAAACACAGTTCGGTGGGAATGAGTTTTGGCATCAACCTCCACAATGTTGGGATTATCAATGCAGTTTCACTTATAAAAAACTATTTTATACCATGTTTCTTTTTTGGATATGATATCATACTAATACTATGGTTTTGTATACAAGTACCACGGTAGTATTCTGTGTCTCAAACTTTGATACAATATTCCCATATTATTCTACAACTTCTGTAAATTCTGTAAATAAATGGCAAGTACAAAGAATGCTGTTGTTTTTCTCCATTAATCCGATTTGAAAACGCCATGTTTATATATATTCTAGATGAATTTACTTTGGCAATCAAATTTACTTCCAAATAACTGTCATGCATACCCTTCCGTATTACCATACAATTATACGAAACATAAATAAATTGAGGTAGCACCAAAATGACTCAGCACTACAGAAAAAGACAACTGACTATAGCAGATTGTATTTGTCCTCAACTCCCTTACATTACACTATTCACTATTATACACTACCAGTGTTGGGGAAAGTTACTTTTAAAAGTAATGCATTACGATATTGCGTTACTCCCTAAAAAAAGTAACTAATTACTTAGTTACTTTTTATGGAAAGTAATGCATTACTTAATCAACACTATACACTACTGTTTAAAAGTTTGGATTTTTGTTTTAGAAATGAATACTTTTATTCAGCAAGAATGCATCAAATTGATCAAAAGTGACTACAGG